AAAAAAAAAAAAAAAAAAAAAAAAAAAAAGAAACACACTTCGGGGAACACAGCTTGGATCTCTTTCCCATAAAGCTCTTTTTTTTTTTTGAATTGGAGTCTCACTCTGTCACCCAGGCTGGAGTACAGTGACACGCTCATGGCCACTGCAGCCTCGACCTGCTGGGCTCCGGTGATCCTTCCACCTCAGCCTTCCAAGTAGCCGGAACTACAAGCAGACGCCACTACGCCTGGCTAATTTTTTGATTCATTGTAAAGATGAGGTTTTGCCAAGTTGCCCAGGCTGGCAATCCTCTCACCTCAGCCCCAAAAAAGTGCTGGGATTACAGGTGTGAGCCACTGCACCCAGCCTCTTTCCTGTAAGGCTTTTATTCCACTCATCCAAAAAGAAAAAAAGAGAAAACCCCCTAACGTTGCACTTGTCTCTTGTCTCTTGACAAAGCCTCATGGGCTGGACACCCAGAGTCACCCCCAGCCACCCGGCACCAGGCCAAGGGTGCTCCAACTAATGCCTTAAAATTTGCATTCTCAGCCGGGCTCGGTGGCTCGGCCTGTAATCCCGCACCTTTGGGAGGCTGAGGTGAGTGGATTGCCTGAGCCCGCAGGTTCGAGACCCGCCTGGGCAACTTGGTGAGACCTCATCTCTATAATAAATCAAAAATGAGCCGGGCGTGGTAGCGCGCGCCTGTAGTTCCAGCTACTCGGAAGGCTGAGGCGAAAGATCGCCAGAGCCCAGCAGGTCGAGGCTGCAGTGGCGGGGAGTGGCCACTGCACTCCAGTCTGGGCGACAGAGTGAGACTCCAGCTCAAAAAGAAAAAAAATTTGCATTCTCCGATGGCCCCACTTCTTCCAGGAGATGGTTACCCCACCCTGGACTCGGGACAGAGTGCTCACCCCTACTCAGCCTTCGCAACCCTCAGGATCCATCCCCTGCCTTGCTCTTTGGCCTGGCCTCTCACAAGCACACTGCCACTTGCTTTTCTGTCGAATTTCCTTAAATTCCTTGAATGTGCCTCAGGGCAGAGGCTCCTGGAATTCCTGAGACTCCCAGCACTCTAGGATGGTTCTTTTCTCCGGGGAGTGCCCCGGACCCTGGTCATGGCGGGAAGCCCCTGACCCGCACCCACCCCTCAGCCCTGCTGACCTTGATCATGCTGTACAGAGACTTCTCATACTTGGTCCGGAAGATCTCCCGGATGTCCAGCATGTCCAGCTCGCTACGGGAGACCATGATGCGGATCAGGGTGTTGTCCCGGGTCCCTAGGCCCTGGAAGACAAGTGGGTTGGGGAGCAGGGACTTGAGAGGAGGCCAGTGTGCCCACAGCCCCCAGCTTAGCTGGAAACACTATTTCAAAACAGAGTTAAAATTCAGAACAAAGGCCGGGCTTGGCGGCTCAGCCTGTAATCCCACGCTTTGGGAGGCTGAGGTGAGTGAATTGCCTGAGCCTGTGGATTCGAGACCTGTCTGGGCAACTTGGCGAGACCTCATCTCTACAATAAATCAAAAAAACTAGCCGAGTGTGGTAGTGCACGCCTGTACTTCTGATTACTTGGAAGGCTGAGGTGGAAGGATCGCTGGAGCCCAGCAGGGCAAGCCTGCGGTGGCCAGGAGTGTGCCACTGCACTACAGTCTGGGCAACAGAGTGAGACTCCAACTCAAAAAAAAAAAAAAGTCGGAACAAAAAAGGATCCTGTGTGTTCTTCTCTCCTCATACAGCATTTCCATCCTTGATCTTCCTTATAATTCTAGCACAATTTTGTAATTCCAAGCAATATACTTAGATGTGCACATCTTGGAACTTCATACTTGTTATGTCATGCCACTCTTGGTTGACACTGGGTTGTTTCCAGTTTTTTCCTAACACAGGCAATGCTGTGATTAGCACTCTTTTTTTTTTTTTTTTTTTTTTTGTAGGATCTCACTCTGTCACCCAGGCTGGAGTGCAGTGGCAGGGTCATGACCGCAAAGCCTTGACCTACTGGGTCAGGTGATCTTTCTGCCTCAGCCTTCCAAGTAGCTGGAACCACAGGAATGCACCACCGTGCCCGGTTGATTTTTTTGATTTATTGTAGAGATGAGGGCTTGCCAAATTGTCCAGGCTGGACTCGAACCTGTGGGCCTAGGCAACCCTCTCGCTTCTGCCTCCCAAAGTGCTGGGATTACAGATGTGAGCCACCATGCCCAGATGTGATGAGCACTCTTAGGGCCAAACACACAGGCAAGCGTTTCTGCAGGGCAGGCTGCCCAACCTCACTCTGGCTCTGGTGGACAGAGAACAGCTGACAGTCATTTTGCACTTTTGGGAGGCCAAGCAGGGCCAGGAAGGCCCAAACTTCTGGGCTTCTGACAGTAAATGACTGCGTTCATCTGCTCCAGTGTGCCATGGACATACCTTGGTTTCTGTGTGTCACACATGTCAAAACCTGGGTGGAGCCGTCGGGTAACAGGATGAGACCCATGAATCTTAGCAGACAAGACCAACATGTGTTACCAAGAGATCTCACCTACACATGCTGGTTAGTCAATACTGTAACAAGTGTGGGCTGCCAACCCTCCTGGCAGGACACATCAGGGCAGGCAGCTCGCTCTGACCAGTCGTGAGGTCAGGGCAGGTATGCAGGTGGGTGCTATGTGACCAGGCGGCATTCCAGGCTGATGCTCGCCTGGACACAACCCCACCACCGAGGTCAGTCCTGTGGCCACATCCAAAGGGCTCTCTTTGGCTGGTGAACCCCAAGGAGTACCAACAGTCCTGTGGGTGGGCAGAGCCCTTCCCCTAACCTCACAGACATCAACCCCACCACGCACCTTCATGGCCTTAAAGAGTCTCTCAGCAAAATACTCCGAGGTGCTCCGGATACATTTTACTGCAAAGAGGGAGAAAGGCGGGGGGTGTTATTATGGCTGCCTCGTAAGGGGCATGGGATGGCCTGACCCCTCCTTGAGGACCCCCGCTCAAATGCAGGAAGAGCTCCAGCTCCGGAGAGCCCCCAGCCCCACCCCCTTTTATCAAGAGCCAGGAAATAAAGAAATCAGATGAGGTGTTGAAATTTGAGTAGCCCATCTCAAGCGCCCACTTTTTCTTTCTGGTTCTTTCGGTTTCACAGGGAACCGAGCTGGGTCAGGAGCAGGGATGGGGGCAGGGGCTGGGGTGGAGGAGGAGAAAGTGTTTCTTTAGATTGGCTACACCAGAAGGTACTGATCACTGAATGACTCTGGATCCCGCTGGGTGATCACTTGCGACAGGGGTGGTGGGGGACAGCTCTGGGCGGGAAGATGAGGGGGGTGCAGGTCTCCCCCAAGAAAGATAAACACAGAACCTATCCCTGACTCAGACGCTGACTCTTGGAATGTCAGACTTGCCTCTGGGGTCAGGCAGTCCATCCTTCCTTCACAGATGAGGAAACTGAAGCCCAGCAAGGAGAAGTGACTTTATCCAAGTCAACAGCAAATTTGGGAGAAGGCCTGGGTTTGAATCTGGACTCCACCATTGACTAGTCAGCTCTTGGTGCCCCCAAATCATGACAGAATGACCCCTTGGCAAGGGACTAGCCTTGGTGAGACTTGGCTGTCTCATGTGTAAAATGGTAGTCATGGCAGTAGCAGCTCCTGGGCCTTCTTAAAAGATGAAACACTCAGTGCAGTGCACTGCAGATGCTCCACAGAAGTCCCCCACACTCAAGATCATGACTGTCTGACTCCAAGTTCAATGCTCCCTGTCCCCTGCCACAAGGCAGAAGAGAGTGAGGGGAGGCTGGCATGAGGCCCAACTGCCTTTCCTTCCTCGGCCTCAGCCATGCTGCCCTAGCTAAGCTTTAGAATTCATGGCCCATCTGATTTCTCCTCCTCCTTCTCCATGATTCCCCTTTTCCATCTTGGCCTCTTGTTCTTGGACCAGTGTCCCCAATCCCTTGGAGCTCCCAGGAATGCAAGTTCACACGTACCTACGGCCAGCATCAGCTTCTCAAAGTCCCCAGACAGCTCCCCTCGGATGCTGGCTTCGACTGGCTTCCCCGTGGTCTTCAGATACTCATCAAACACTGCATCAGACAGAGAGACAGGGACATCAGAGAGCATCCCCATGACCCCGGGAAGAAACTGGACTTCAAAGTGGTGGGTGTAGTGGCCAGGACTTGACTGCTCAACACGAAGCCAGGGCCAGTGCCTTGAAGGTGGCTGGAGTCACGCACAGACGAGTCTCCTAGGCTGGGGATGGACCATGCCTTGTCCTCCAGCACGAGACAGGCTGGCACTGAAGTAGGGCTGGGTGTTCTGTGAATGATGCTGGTGAGGAACCATGCATACCTCACCACTGATGATAAAATCTGGGCTGGTGTGTGGGTTGGGGATGGAGAGGCCATCATGTCCCATTCGTGTTAAAGAAAAGGAAAAGAGAAAGGATGCTTGGCGCCAGCCCAGGCGCAGTGTCTCTGGAGCTCACCCAGCCGGAGGTGCTGCTTGCTGCGGTTCCCCAGGATGTAGATGAACTGGGCTTCATCTGTCCCCCATTTCAGTTCCCCAGCCTCATATAGGTCCTGTAGGGGAAGAGACGGCACGTCACTGAAAGAGGGAACCTCAGGGACAGGACCGCTAGCCAACCTGATTCAGGACACACCAGTCATAGCTAGCTTCAGGACCTTTGCATACACGATCATGTGCCGCTCATTGACTGAGATGCACTCTGAGCAATACATCGCTAGGTAATTTTGTTGCTGTGCGAACATCACAGTGTCCTTACACAAATCTACATGGTGTAGCCGACTATAAACCCAGGCTAGGTGGCACAGCCTATTACTCCTAGGCTGTAAACCTGCACAGCGTTTCTGTACCGAATACTATACGCCACTGTAACACAGTGGTAAGCAGTCGTGTATCCAAACAAAGACAAGCACAGTAAAAATACGGTAAAGTAGTCTTACGGGACCACTGTCACGCATGCAGTTCATCACTGACTGAAGGAAACATCATTATGTGATACATGATCATATCTGTATGCCTTTCTTTCTTCCTTTCTATCTGAGAACACTCCTCATCCTTCAAGGACCAGAGCCAATGTCCCATTTTTTTTTTTTCCTCAAAGTACTTCCTGATTCCCCTAAGCAGAGTTCTCTTTCTCTCCTTTCCTCCCTCCTTCTCCTATAGCTTTCTGCTTCTTTATAACTTTGATCCGCTTTGTATTACCATGCTTTCTTCATACGTCTGTCTCCCCCTGTGCCTTGGGTTCCTCAGAGATAGGGATGGTCAGCATTCTCTGTATCGCCCTGCAGTGCGACTGGCGCACATGGGTGCTCCATACACCTGGCACATGCAGGGCACTGATGGAGAAGGTGTATGCTTCGTAAACACCTGACCCTCCTGGCTTCCTGACTTTGCTCATCAGTGACTCCCCAGTGCTTGGCAGAGTGCCCGCACTCAGCAGGTGTTTTATTTCAATAAACATCAGACTGCATAAATAAATGAACAGATGAACGTAAGCTCCCAAACACACTCTCCCCAACACCGCAGGCTATGTGCCTTTGAAAGAGAACAAATCTTTTCTTCAACCAAGCACCGTATACACGACAGCTGCGCAGGGCTATTTCCGGTACTGGATGCAGACAACTTCACCTACAGCCCTTCCAGGGTTTCAGCCTCCCCTCTCCAGACTTCTTTGCTACCTCATGGGGCCTGCAGGAGGTACTTGCTTACCTGGACGTCCTGCTGAACCAAGTCCTCGCTCACAACATCGTCCTCCTCCCTGGTTCCCTGGGCAGAGAAACAAGGGACATGTACTTCAAGTACTGCAGAGCCAGCAGGAAGCCTGGGAGCCAGAGTGAAGATGGGGAGGCCTGGGTGTGTCCAGGAGTAGTGACTGCCACCGGGTCAAGGTCACAGCATCTATTTTGTGCAGAATCATGGGGTCCCTCCCGCCAGCTGCTCCCTTCATCCTTGGGGTTGGGAATCCATCAGGGGAATCCCAAGAATAACCAGGGTCCTTCCAGGTGTCCCCAACCCAGGGGAAGCCAGAGGCTTGTCCCAAGGACATCTCTGAGGACAGGGCCCCAGGCACTATATGGTCCCTACCATAGGCCCTGGCATTGCCCACGACACCCTATGATGATGATTCCACAGGGGCAAAGTGTCTGCATATTTGATTCCATTAGGAGTTCCCATGCCTTAACCCAAAGAATCCCAATGAGGACGTGGACTTGGATTTGGGCTTGAGATCTGAGCTCCCGCTGCGAAGGCCCCAAATTCTACCAGTGCCCCTGTTGTTCTGCTCGAACCCCATACCTCATCTCAGAGGAGCTCAAAAACAGAGGATACTCAAAGGGAATAGGGCAGCCACCTAGGCTCTTTACTTGCATGGGCCGAGGCCTGCAGCTAGCCTGGGAAGGTCCATGCCCACGCCTTGTCCTCCTGGGTGGTGCATTTCAGGATCTCAAGCCCTCAGCTCTCTTTGGGACTGAGCAGAAGACAGCCAGCAGTCATGCTCTGCGCCACGCTGCCACTCATGGCTGGATGCTGAGGACGCAACACCCTTGACTCCGAGACACAGGGTGGGACTCTCGTCGCCAGAACAGGCAACTTTGAAAATAGGCAACAGCCACACTCCCCCACTCCTGAGGTAACACCCCAGCTGGCTGATATGGGTTGTTATAGTCACCAGAGGAGGATTAGGAAGAACTGGCATAACACGGGGAACGGAGACCAGGCGCAGTGGCTCATGCCTGTAATCCCAGCACTTTGGGAAGCTGAGGCAGGAGGATAGCTTGAGCCCAGGCGTTTGAGACCAGCCTGGGCAACATAGCAAGCACTCGTCTCTACCAAAAAATACAAAAACTAGCCGGGTGTGGGGGCACACGCCTGGAGTCCCAGCTATACTCAGGAGGCTGAGGCAGAAGGATTGCCTGAGCCCAGGAGGTAGAGGCTGCGGTGAGCTGTGGTTATGCCACTGCACTCCAGCCTGGGCAACGGAGTGAGACCCTGTCTCCAAAATAAAACAAAACAAAAAACAGAAATAGGGTAGAGAGGAAACAATGGCGGGTTAAATTATATATCAGGTTGACGCATAAATTTGTAGCATTTGTTTTTGGCGTGACAATATTGCAGTGTTGAGAGTTTGTTTATCGTTTGTCATTTGGAGTGACCAGGCTGTGCCTTGCATTTTGCAGAGTTGAAGAAAGTGAGTACTATTTGTGGACTAAAGAAGACAAAGTGTCAAGCGGAAATAAATGAACACTTCTGACATATTCCTGTTTGCGTTTGATAGAGTAAAGGTTGCAGAGGTGGCTCGAAACATTTGTGTCGTGTCTGGGGAGAATTGAGCCATTGGGGAAAGCACAGAAAAGGGTTTTGTTGTATCAAAGAAGCCCACTTTGACCTGATTGATTCTCCATGCTCAGGAAGACTATTGGGCTTTGATGAAGACTGTTTCAATGCTTCAATCCACCATAACCCACGTCTGTCAACCTGAGAATTGGCAAGGTTCAAAAATCAGGTGTGTGGATACCATGTGCTTTAAGCGCACACAAAAGAGGTCAACGGGGGGCCATTTGTGCTTCTTTGCATGCTTGTCATCAGTTAGCTTGTGAAAAACATCGATCCGTCTGGGTTCAGTGGCTCAGCCTATAATCACAGCGTTTTGGGAGACCGAGGTGAGTGGATTGCCTGAGCCCGCATGTTTGAGACAAGTTTGAGCAACTTGGTGAGACCTCATGTCTACAATAAAAAAAAAAAAAAAATTAGCCAGGCATGATAGTGCACACCTGTAGCTCTGGCTACTTGGAAGGTTGAGGCAGCAGGATCACCTGAGCTTAGCAGGTCCAGGGTGCGGTGGCTGTGAGTGTGCCACAGCACCCCAGGCTGGGCGACACAGTGAGACTCCAACTCCAAAAAAAAAAAGAAAGAAAAACATTGATCCTTCCTGTTCAGGATTGTCATTGGTGATAACAAATGGTACCTTTGTGTCCACATCAAAAAAAAAAGAAAGGGCTGAGCCCTAACAAAAAAGCAACTGCCCTTACAAAAGCTAGCATCCATCTACAGAAAACAATGGTATGCGTCTGGGGGGGACATGGAAGGCATCATGTACTACCAGTTGTTTCCCAGGCGTGTAACCATCACTGCTTGACATTTATTGCCAACAACTGACATGCCAAACAACCAGGAAGACTGCACCACGTGCTGCTACAGCAGACAACACATTCTGCTCACGTGACGAACACAGCTGTCCAGGAGCTTGAGTGGGGGTTCTTCCAAGTCCCCCATTTCTCCCTAGTCTTGTAACCCTCTGATTTCCACCTGTTCCACTCTCTATCTAACAATCTTCAAGGAAACTCCCTTGATAACGAAAATGCTCTTCCAACTTGGCTTGTCGACTTCTTTAACTCCAAATCAGCAAATTTCTTCAGGCGTGGAATTGAGAAACTGTCCCAGTGTTGGCAGACAGTTATGGATAATGCAGAAGGGATATATCATCAATTAGTCTCTGCCTTCTGTTCATCTCCAATGAGTGTAAAATGAAAACTTCTGCCACAACAAAAAAATGCTACAAACTTATGCACCCACCCAGTGGAAAGTGTCATAGAGGTTTGGTCCTGGGATCCAGGCTTCAGGCAACTGGACACCCGTTCCCAGTGCTTGTGGTCACTGAGGCTCCTACAGGGCCCGGCAGGTGATGTACACGTGCAGCTGGCAGGGAACACACACCTCAGTCACTGCAGCCATGCAGAATGCAGGCCGACTGCTACCAGAACTTCCAATGCATCAAAAGAACTCAGAAATCAAGTTTTTGAGCAAAATCTCAGTATTTCTAAAAGTTTGCAACTAACTCAAAGTTTTTGGGGATTTTTTTTGTGGAAAAATAAAGGAAAGAAATCAAATTTGGCAGGCTGAATCCAGCCACGGACACCAGGCTGCAGCTCTCACAGTTTCTTTCTGAAAGACTCCACAGTGGGCTGGGTGGGGGTAGCAGGGCTTGGATGTGGGTATACAACCAGGCAGCCCCAGAAATCCCACATCCCAGCCAGGTCCTCGCATGCGCCGTGGCTGCAGAAGCAGCGAGGGAGGGAAGCCAAGAGAGGAGGGGAGGGCACTCTGGAGGGAGGAAGGAGGTCTCAGAGGAGACATGCAGGCCCAAGAGGAGTGTGTGCCAGAGGGAACAGGGTCACCTGAATATGCCTGACCGTGCAGTCCAGGGAAGCTGACCAGACCCCCAGCTTCAGCCTCTATGCCCAGCGAGGGAGACAGAACTGCCCACTCCCAGGGAAAGCAGGCCCTGAGCCCACCTGGAGCAGGACCACAAGCATCTTCTGGAAGTGGCCAGAGGTGTCGCCGATGATGTCAGCCTCCAGATCTCGCTCATAAGCTGCAAGAAGAACACACGCTCTAGTCTCATCCCCAGAGATCCTGCAGCACTCAGAATGATCAGATATTTGTTGCCAATCCCCAAACCCAGGCCAAACAACCGCCATGGCACAAGCCAGGGGAATCCTCGCAGCCTGTGGTATTGACCGTGACGTGAGGTGATGGATTCTGTCCATGCTCCCTGTCCTGTCTCTACCATCCTCCTGGAGACACTGTCGTGTCTAGCCTGGGTAAGGCTGCGACATCCTGATGCCTCTCTGCTCACTTCTTCTCTCGCCCACATCAACCAGATGCCTGTCCTAAAGCCCATGTCTGACTATGACACTCCTTGACTTCTCATTGGACTCAGAATAAAACGGCATCTCGCCAGGCATGGTGGCTCACGCCTATAGTCCCGCTACTTAGGAGGCTGAGGTGGGAGGATCACCTGAGCTCAGGAGGTTGAGGCTGCAGGGAGCCATGATCATGACACTGCACTCCTGCCTGGGCAACAGAGTGAGAACTCAACTCAAAAAAGCAAAAACATCTCTCTTGGCCCACAAGGCTCTATGCGATGCTGCTGTCTTCCTCTCTGCCTCACACTGGCGCTGGGCTCATTTCTGCCTGAGGGCCTTTGGACCTGCCATTCCCTCTGCTGAAATGATATTCTCCCCATTCTTTTTTTTAAAAAAGAGATAGGTCTCACTCTGTGCTCAGGCTGGAGTGCAGTGGCACGATCATAGCTCCCTGCAGCTTGACTTCCCGGGCTCAAACGATACTCTCACCTCAGCCTCCCGAGTAGCGGAGACTACAGGCATGTGCCACCACATCCAACTTATTTTTTTAAAAATCTTTTCGTAGACACAAGATCTCACTGTGTTGCTCAGGCTGGTCTCAAAACTCCTAGCTTCAAGTGATCCTCCCACCTCAGCCTCCCAAAGTACTGGGGTTACAGGCGTGGGTCATGGTGCCTGGCCTCCCTACTCTTTTTTTTTTTTTTTAAGTGAGAAAACAGGATTTATTGAGAGGACAGAAAAGCCCTCACAGTGGGAGGGGACCTGAAGGGGTTGTCCTGGCCTCTCCACTCTTTATCCAACTGAGCTCAGTGCTTCTTCCCAGCACAGGCTCCCCTGACCTGTCTGAAGCTGGGCCTCCCTCCTGAAAGTTTGAGTCTTACTTGGCAGTTTCCTTATAACACTTAGCCACAGGGTGTCACATCATGGGCAGGTGTTTAAGAATACCTACAATAAGCAGGTGTTTGCTTATTGTAATTCCCTCATTACCTCCTTGCCTGTGAGCTCCAGGAGCCGGTCAGCTCAGAGCTCACACTGGACAGACAGAAGAGCTCACAGTGGTTAGATAGACGGGCAGGCCAACAGAGCAGAGGGAAGGAGGGAAGGTGGATGCAAGGTCTCAGCACCCACCCTCAGGCACCCTCCTTTGCCTCTGCGGGCCCTGAGACCTCCTCCTGTCTCACCATCTTTGTATGCTGCCACCAGCTGGTGCATCTGCTCGTTGGTCCGGGAAGCCAGGATCTCAATGAGGCACTTCTCGTCGGTGCCGATGCCCTGGGAAGGGGGAAGCGGCCATGAGTCAGAGCTGGGGTGGGGCCCCGAGCCAAACCAGAGCCTAGGAGTGGCCAGAACTGTGGCACTCCACTCAGAGGGCTCCCAGCTCTTGGAACCTGGTGCCTGGAGACTCCTAAGACTCCGGTTCAAGCCCTGCCTCTGCCAGTAACCTGCTCTGCGAATTCTCATTAAGAAATGATCTTTTGGGGCTTCAGTTTTCTCATCTGTGAACTGGAGATGACAGTCATTGCTCTGCCAAACTAACGGGGAGATGAGAAGGTCATAACCTCTCACACTGGGGTGCATCCGCTTATGAAATTAATTCATGCTTAATGGCTCATCGGAGGCAGCGATCATTCACTGTATAAACTGTAGAGTGCTAGATACACTTAAGGGCTTTTTACCTCTTTTTTCCTGGATGGCAACTCTCCAGCTCAGCCAGCCTGAGCTGGTCCTCATGGCTCAGTCAACACAGCTGTACAACTTTGGCCATCCTCTCCACTGCCTGAATGACCCCCACGCTCCTATCCACCCAATCCTCTCTGGGCTCTGGGGCTCAACTTGATTCTCTCATCTTCTAAGACACCCTCTCGAGCCACCCTGGGCCCAGGGCCTGACCATGCTGACCACCCTCAGTGTGCTGTGGCCTCAGGCCTCTTGGGCACCATCTGTCTCCATGTCCCGACGACCTGCTTCCTCAGATTATCAGCTCCTGGTGTGAGGTCTAGGCTGGGGCCTCTCTCGTGGGATCTGCCTCACATCGACATCTGTCCACATCTGTCTGTCTGCAGAACGCTGGGATGCCCCAGTGCCAAGGCTGAGGGCAAGCTGCCTCTTGGAGCAGGGCGCATCTTCTGAGTGGGTACGGGGCTCATCAGATGCCTGCTGTAGATTCCCCTATTCACCATGCCCCTCACTTCCATACACCCAAGCTCCCTACCGAGATGGCATCTTTAATTTCTTTGGCATCACTGTAGGCAAGTGGCCTCATCAGGCCCACAATCAGCCGCTCAAACTTGCCCGTCAGCTCATACTTCAAGTCAGCGATGAGGTCCTGGGGGACAGGGAGAGGAGACAGAAGAGGAAGGGACAACTAGTTACAAGGACAAGAATTACATTTGGGGCAGATGCAGTGGCTCACACCTGTAATCCTAGCACTTTGGGAGGCTGAGGCAAGTGGATTGCCTGAGCCTGCGGGTTCGAGACCCACCCAGGCAACTTGACAAGACCTCGTCTCTACAATAAATCAAAAATTAGCCGGGCATGGTAGCACGGGTCTGTAGTTCCAGCTACTTGGAAGGCTAAGGCAGAAGGATCGCCGGAGCCCAGCAGGTGGAGGCTGCAGTGGCTGGGAGCGTGCCATTGCACTCTAGCCTAGGTGACAGAGCGAGATGCCAACTCAAAAAAAAAAAAAGAAAAAAGAATAATACTAAAATAATTACATATAGTGAGCGCTCCTTTGGGCAGACACTGGGCTACCAATGAACCGTCACCCTTGGGGTATGTATCCTCACCAACCTTAAGAAACAGGCTCAGAGACACCAGGTAACTTGCCCCAAGTCACGCAGCTAGCAAACAGCTGTACAGGGTCAAGCTCACAGCACATGCCCCCTGCCCCATGCCTGTTTCCTTATTTACTGTATGTCTCTCCAACTAGCCAGGAGTCCACAGAGTTGACACCTCATAGATTTCCTCTGCCAGCACCGCCTAACCCTAGCATAAGCCCAGCACACAGGAGCCAGGTAAGTTGTCAGCAGGAAGCTGACCTGGAGTAGGATACGCCGCCAAGGCCCTGAATGCACACACAGGTGAATGAAATCACGCCCCCCCCCCCCCCCCCTGCTGTCACCATGGTTACCTTGCCGTAGAGTGACTTATAGCTCTGGCAAACCTCCTGCCTCTGCCTGTTGCTCCGGGTCGTGATCAGCTCCAGTATGGCCTCCTTGTCACTGCCTGGAAGAGGGGAGGGCACCCATCACCCTATGCACCCAGCCTCCAGGAAGCCCACCAGAGCTGCTTCCTTCCCTGGACACAGGCCCAGCGACTCCTGCAGTCCTCAGTACCGACCTTCTGTTTACGAGGTGCTGGTGACAGGTCTATAGGGACCTAGTAAGTCGTCACCGAGAGGGGTTTACAGCACACATGCTATCTGAGCTCAGAGGGCCACGATCCAGCTCTTCACCGAACAGATATGGAAACTGAGGCCCAGAGAGGGAGAGGGAATCACCCAAGGTCTCACAAGGAGCCCTGTTTAGAAAACCTAGGTGGGTTCTAACCCAGCCCAGGATTCTTTCAGTCACAAAACAACATAGGACATAAGCACTGAATTCAGGGCAGTGGCTCCCCGGGGAAAGGTGGGGTGATGTCATCAGGGGCCTCCAGGGAGGCTTCAGCTACACGATGAAGCTCTACTTCTTTTTTTTTTGAGTCGGAGTCTCACTCTGTTGCCCAGACTGGAGTGCAGTGGCCGCTCCCGGCAACCGCAGCCTCGGCCTGCTGGGCTCCGGCGATCCTTCCGCCTCAGCCTTCCAAGTAGCCGGAATTACAGGCATGCGCTACCACGCCCAGCTGATTTTTTGATTTATCTGTA